GAAATGAAAACCAGAGGACTATATATAGTTTCTCAACTTATAACCCAAAGTCCAAGGAAAAGCCAAGAAATCAAACAAATCCCATAAAATCAAGAAGTCGGGAAAACTAGCTGTTACTGTTGACAAAGCGATCAGTCGACTAATGGTGAAAATCGATTGACCGGTCGGTTGACCGTTGGCAGATTTGAAAAATAGAAATGAACTATCGATCGACTGATGGTGTGCTATTTGTTGATTGATAAGTGTTTATCGGTCGACTGATAAATGTGTATCGGTCGACTGATAGAAGGCCAACTGCAGGAGCTGATAAACCTGCTCCTGGACAGTCGACTGATGAAGAGAAGTCGGTCAACTGAAAACTGATATTTCTAGACACTTGGTTTTTTTCTATAACCGTTGAAATTCTAAAATAGATTTAAAATATTAAATCAACTTCAAAATTAATAAAATTTTGGAAAATGTTTATATATATGAGAATAAACACATTTGAGAAGAAATTTTAAAAATATCATTTTCCATTTGTGAAAACTCATTGTTTTATAAAAACCGTCAAAATATGAGTTTTGAAATGTGTGTTTGATCCTCAAATGCTTCAACAGTTATCTACTTTATTCCTTGCCTACATTATGATCTAGAGAGAAGTAAAAATGTAAATATTGCTTACAATTGAATACAATACTTAAGTGTTGATATTTGTTAAGATTTGTTGATGAAGCTCTTCTTGAATATACGCTTGAATGCTCTTCATTATATGATATTCACGTGAATTGATCTTTGAGCATTTTAAGGCTTCTTCATCAACTTGCCTCCACCTTCACTAATAACATTGCTACGGCACGAATCCATCCATCCTCCAAGAATGACACTACATTGCTTGATAAATACTTCCTGCGTAATATCACTTAACAAGCAATTAGCACCAATAATGGGGTTTGTAAATCATTATCAAAACATAAGACCTAACAGATTAGAGGGCATAACGAGAGAAAAATGGACGTAAGGTGCAATGAGGCAGAAGGAAAGGCGTGTATTTTATGCTTATTTTGTTAAAGGGAAGGAGAAGGAAGAGGAGGTGCAACATTTTATAGTTACTAGTATAATGCACATGTTTCGCATGTGGACATGAAAATAATGAGGTCACTCAAAAAATATTGATTGTTAAGTATTTGAAAGAAATCTTGAATGTTTAGTTATAAAAGTATGTCATTAAATGAATTATTGATTGTTTTCTAAAAAGAAGAGATATATTTCCGTGCCAAAAATTATATTCCATACTTTTCTAGATTTTCTTGAAATAACTCCGTTTTATGTTTGTTTTAGCATTTTTAAATAAAGAAATTGGTTGTCAAACTTTTAGGGTTCAATGCCATACTGCCATGGAACTTTAGAATGAAGACAAAAATATACAAAAATATTCTAAACTTAAGCTTTCTAACCCAATTTTGAGAAAATTTCTTGCTTTTCTTATTTTTTAGCTATCACTTTTTGTACTTTGGAACTCTTTGTTTCTCAAGAAAAACAAAGGAAATAGTTTGGCAAGAAACACCATAGCTTACCATCGCAGTAACCAATAACTATGTTGGCCTCCTCAACAATAAAGGCTAATACACTAATTAAACAAGGTACGTGCTACCAAGCACTTGTATGCAATGACCCATATGGCCTGACGACAACTTGAATTGATATCTATCTTACCATGGAAAAAAAGAGGACTAATTTTGTCGATGCATGATTTATGCTCTATTACAGATTCCAAACATCATGTCATGTTATCAACTTGTATTTTGGCTCTTGCTGATAGTTGTTCAACGAGTTAGTCTAAGGAAGAGGATACTAGGTGAAGGAAAGAGAGGTGACTTAGAATTATAATGCTACCTTTTGATCAAAGATTGGAGTTTTGTTTGAAGAAATTTGGTGAGGTTTTCTTGTTATTTGTAGTGATGTTTCGAGGCAAAATGTTGTAATGTTTGTTATGGTTAATGCAATCAATGTTCGGAGGCAAAAGGTTGTAATGTTTGTTATGGTCAACGTAATTAAAGTTATTAGTAAATAATTGAATTTGGAAGGAGGATGTTGAGGAAGTTGAAAAGTTGAGAGGTAAAGGGTTTGTTAATAATGGCTGTTATTATTGATCATTGCATTATTTGATCATTAATTGGACACATAAAGATTGGTAAATTGAGCTTGAGCTTTGATAGCAAATAGAATCTTCAGCCACTAGTAGGGCTAGTAAAGAGTATTATTGCATTATTGGACATAAATTTTTAGATTAAAGCAAAATTATTAATTTTTATTTTTCACAAAAAATACTTATCTTATTTTTAACATAATTAATTATTCATAGTATAAAATACAATTTCGTAATATTTAGTTGACTGAGGGTATTCTGGGTATAAACGCTTTAACACCCCAATCCATTTTTGTAGTAGTATGGATAAAATATAAGATATTTTTTTAAATGTTGAAACTCCCTTTTTCTTTCTATTGTTCAACATTCAACAATTTGTTTTTAATATTTATGGATATTTAATATGAAAGCCATGTCATATGAATTTGAATGAGTTAGTGGGGTTTTCATTTCATTTCTATTGACATTTATGTCTACACTATATTTATACTTATTAATAATTAAATAATTAGTAATTATTATTATATTATATAAATAAAAGAGGATTGCATTGTCGAAACTTTTGATTGAGAGGGTAAAAGAGATAATCAAAAGTTTCTTTAATATATAGTATAGATATATATTTTCTCTCTTTTTGAATCCCTTCTTCTGTCTCCTTATTTATAGTTCATATTCTCTCTCCCTTCCTCATACTAAACTCCCCTCGCTCAACCTTCCTCATCAAAACACCCTACCTAACACTTTTTTTTGTCCCTCCCACCCTTCCCACACCCACTAATATCCGAAGCCTAACACCTTCAGTCATTTATACAATTAAACTAACAATATGCTAGGCATATCATAATATTATTTGTACATATATCTATTAATTACAAAATACTAACAACAGTTTTCTTGTGCGTATTTGGATGTTTGGTTTAATGGTTAACTTAAAACATTCTAGATTTTTCTAACAGGTTTCCCAAATTATTAATATTTTGAGATAGGTTCCTGAAAATGGAATTCAAAATAAGTGCCTGAAATTGTGTAAATTACACTAAATCAGTCATTGATGTTAAATTCTTTTAATTAATTTATCATTGTTCATAATCAATGTTTTAAAAAGTCTTTGCCTAGTCTGCCTAGACCTAGACAGTGCCTAGGCTGCCTGTTTAGTGCGTAGCGCCTAAGCAATACCTAGGCTGCCACCTAGATTTTAGGAGTGTTTAGCGGAGCGTGAGCTGCTTACATGAACTACACTCTTTAATTAAAAAATAATCACTGTAATTTAAAAAATTAAAAAAAGGAAAACTGCCTAGGCCCTGCCTAGGCTCTAGGCATCAAGTTGAATGCCTAGGCCGCCTAGCACTATTTATAACATTGTTTCTAATAGCCGTTAAATTTTCTATTATATCTTATTTATCAATTTTGTTTTAGGAT